AAATAGACATTTTTTTTTTTTTAAGTGACAAAGAAGACTTTCCAACTCATGATATGGGATGAGCATAACCCTAACAAAGACATTACAATAAAGTGAAAATTATGGATCAATTATCTCTCATCAACACAGACTCAAAATTCCTTAACAAAGTATTAGCAAATCAAATTCCTGTAAATATAAAAATATCTTCATAAGTAGGTGGGGATTATCCCAGGAATAAAAGGTTAGATCACACAAAATAAATAAAATAATGTAATCCAGAATATTAACAGAATAAAAGAAATCCGTAAGTTTATCTCAATATATAAACATAGTATATGACAAAATTCAACAGATTCATGATGAAAACTCTAAGGAAACTAGTAAACCCAAAATGGAAGGAAAATGTAGCAATCAGATAAACAGTATGTACAATGAAATCTATAGTCACCATTGTAATGGTAAACTAAATGGTTTCCTCCAAAGAATGGGGGGGAAAAGCAAGGATGTGCAACCCACCACTTCTTTTTTACTTTTTACTTTTGTTTTTAGAGGGAGAGAGTGTGTGTGTAAGTGAGTGGGGGTGAGGGGCAGAGATACAGGAAGAGAGACTCTTAGGCTCTCAGTGCAGAACCCAACTCAGGGCTCAATTCCATGACCCTGGGATCATGACCTGAGCCAAAATCTAGAGTTGGACGCTCACCTGACTGACCCACCCTGATGCCCTCAATCCACCACTTTTATTCAGTATGGTATTGCTGGTCTTGGCCAATGCAATACTGATAAGAAAAATAAATAAAAGGCACACAAAACACTGTTCTTTTTTACTGATGACACGACTTCTCATGTAGAAGAATCCTAAGAAACGAATTTTTAAAATCTACTAGGACTATAAACAAACAAACAAAAATCTACTAGAACTAGTATATTTGGCAAGGTCTCAGTACAGAAGGTCGATATACAAAAATCAACTGCGTTTCTAAATACCAGAAGCAAACAAAACCAAAAATGTTAAATTCCACATATGGTGAATAAACTTAACAAGATGTGTAAGAACTCTACACTGAAACCAAAACACTCTATATTTAAGAGTATTAAGAAAATCTAAATAAATATAAAAATATACCATATACTAAATTAAGGGGAATCAATATTAAGATATCAATTTTCTCCAATTTACACGTTAAACATAATCTCAATCATAATCCCAACAGCCTTTAAAAAATGGAAAATGAGCTGATTCTAAAGTTTACAGGAAAATGCAAAGGATCTAAAATAGTTAAAACAATCTTCAAAACAGTGAGCAACTAGGCTGTTGAATAACCACCTCTATCTCTGTGAGACCAAAATTTTTTCTCCTACCCAATGCCCCTAACAAAAGGACCTGAAAACCAACAATTTTAATTTTCTTCCACGTTAGCATCTCAAGGATATTATAAGAAAATTAACAATTTATTTTAAATCTTAAACAACTTTCCAATATGAAATTAACATTTTATTCCCAAGCAAACATATCCACTGTAATGACACTGTTGTATCACAAGGAATTTTAGAGAACAAATGTTTTCATCCTAATCCTTAACCTTTCCAAAATTTGGTAGAGATCTAATTTTTTTCTGCCAACTCTTGTTTAAGGAAAAGATTTAATTTTGCTAGCAACAGAGAAAAGTAGCACTGGGATAAAACTAATGAAACACAGTTAATGCGAAAAAGTGAAATTTTCTAAGTGATACGTTAGGAAAGAAGATTTCAGAGAAATCTCAAGGTGGCTCTATTTCTTTCCTAACAACCCTTACAAAAATACTCTTCATTGATGAAAGCCATACCTTCAATTAATCCTAATTCTGCAAATTTGTCTCTAAAACTGTCATTAGATGTAAGGTCTAAGTAAGTTTATTTTATAGACATAATTTAAGATGAATTTAGGAACATGTGGGTAAAATGTCTTTTTAAAAAAAATTTTTTTTTTCAACATTTATTTATTTTTGGGACAGAGAGAGACAGAGCATGAACAGGGGAGGGGCAGAGAGAGAGGGAAACACAGAATCGGAAACAGGCTCCAGGCTCCGAGCCATCAGCCCAGAGCCTGACGCGGGGCTCGAACTCCCGGACCGCGAGATCGTGACCTGGCTGAAG